GCTTTTTAATATGTAAACACGGTAAAAAGATTGTCGAAGTTTGTTTGATCAACTGGCAATGTTATTTATCAAGTTCGACACGAAATAAACGTGCCGAGACGTTGGGCCAAACGAAGAGGATGTAGTAAGCTTTATTCATGAAAATATAGCAAAGGTATATAGGAACTTAACTATATTTCAAATTCCTATTAGCTCACAATGATGAGCGAGGATTTCTTTTTTTTTTGTACATAACAAGGCAGGTATTTGACAGCAATCACACCTGGTGTTAAGTGAGATGCAGTCTAGGATGGTACATATCTGCCCTGTAAGTGCCTATTCAGTTATTCACTCGGCCCGGTCTTAGTTTTATTCGTCCAAGTATTCCGGTAAAGGTCAGCATTTTTCTAAATAAATTTCTATGTCAATTTATTTTACCCGACTACGCCAAAAGGAGGGTTATTATTTATAAAATTAACAGTTGGATCCTCAAGTTACTGTGAATTCTCTATTTAACATTACTAACCTACTTTAATAATAATAACAAGACCTAATCTTTATTGTTGTCATTGATCAATATTGTTCTGAGGTGGAATTGTGTAAAGCCATCGTATCGTAATCATTTGACAGTTCACAACGTACGATTATTCTGTCAAACGCTTTGTTAAACTAACTTTATCGTATGTTATGAACTGTCAAATGATTACGATTGCTTTGCACAATTCCACCTCAGATTTTTAGTCACGAGTGAGAGAAAGAAACCGACAATAGATTTGAATTTAAATGGAAAAATATACTCCCACATACGAATCCTGAACCTACTGCGACCTAACCTATAATACCACTAAAAGATCCCCCAAACAAGTTACTTGGGCGACAAGTTAATTCTGAACTCAATTTTGACTCGACAATACCTACTTATGTCCGCGAAAATCCTATGCATTAATAATTCGAGACCGCGAAAACTCATTAAAAATAACACTTGAAACTTGTAATCGTTCAAAGGCGGGTCTTGTGACGTAGCACACGTTGAACAGCCAGCACAGCTAATTTGTAGCCATCACTTTATTCCAGTAAAAAGTGACAAACTTTTTACTACATACGGTTAAAAAAAATATTATAGAACTAGCGGCCGCCCGCGACTTCGTACGCGTGGATCCCGTTTTACGCCCTTAGGGGTGGAGTTTCATAAAATCCTTTCTTAGTGGATGCTTACGTCATAACATCTAACTGCATGCCAAATTTCAGCCTGATCCGTCCAGTGCAGTGGTTTGGGCTGTGCGTTGATAGATCACTATGTCAGTCAGTCAGTCAGTCACCTTTGAGTTATAGTTAGATAAACAAAAAACCCAACTGCGTAAAAATGAACTAAAAAGATAAAAACAAGACTTAGTGTTCACAAATGTAGTCGGAGGCATCAATGACTAATTATTTTGTTGGTGATATGTATTTGATGCCTCCGACTCCATTTGTGAACGCTAAGCTTGAAAATATGTACGAACACGAAGTACCTACATTACTTAACGATTTGATTCAACTTTCAAACAACGTGAACTAACTTTCACGAGATACGGCGTGAACAAAATTAATGACGATCGACATCTTTTCCGCTCTAGGTTGTAAGTTGTGTATTTTCCGCTCTAGTTGTTGCGTTGGACTGGCGGTTGTCGTTAACCTGTGGCATAGGCCGGACAACTTTAAATTAGAGTTGTCACCCGCGCCGGGGTTACTCGGGGCTTACTTGAAAAAATCCCGGCCAAGTGTGAGGTTGGAATTACTAAGGGTTCAGTGGTTATTGAACTTGTAAAATGTTTTTTTTTTTTGCAAATAGGCTTAAAGCGCTTTTACAAGTATCAGTATTACTGTAGCTTCTTCTTCGGGTCAATGAATGGGACAGTGCTGACCAGAACCTTGTGATTTGTTTTCGTTCGTTTCAGTCAAATGACGTCCCCTACTAGACAAAGGCCTCCTCCAAGGATTTTCACAATTTTGTGTGTTTACACAAAAAGTAATGAATTTTATAACATTACCCGTAACTGAACTTTTCTTCTGTGTGCTTACCATGAGTTTACGTTCGGTGTGCTCGCTAGCGAGAACGTCAAAAAACTTTATGAAGATTTTATTTCTTGAAAGTAGCCGCTAGGGGGCGCTGCACAATATGTTATACATTTAAATGTCATTTTTTACGCAGTCGCTAGCGAGCACACCTAACGTAAACTCATGGTAAGCACACTGGTTATTATGTACAAAAAGTATGTAATTTTTTTAAAATAGCAAAAAATATTTGATAACCATTGCCCGAAGTATCCTAAAAATCAAGAAAGAAGTGAAGAGGGTCCTGCGGATAATACGTCTTAATTTTAAACATTACTTGTGCACGCGACTTCGCTCGGCGCGCGGCGTCTTCCAAGTCAGAAGAACTAAGTTAGGAGTTTTATATTGATGACCAAATAAGTACAGGATTGTTGTAGTTAAGAAAAAAACAGGATTTATCTGTTTTAAAAATATTAAATTAGGCTTTTTTTCATATTAGGTACTTTCATAAATAAAACTGTAGTAATAAGGGATGAAAAAGGTTTTAGACTTATTAATACATATTACAGTTTAACTTTCTCCTTGGGACAAACTTGGCCTTTGCTGGTTGGGTTTTTATTGGCGGTCAAGCTGTCAATAAAGAAAATAAAGGTAGCAGGGAAGCGCTGGACGCAGGCCGCTGCCAATCGATCAACGTGGAAAGCATTGGGGGAGGCCTATGTTCAGCAGTGGACGTCCTATGTCTGAAATTATGACGATGAAACTGTAGATCCTGGATACACAGGAGTTGTCATGAGCCATAGTCCAGGATGAAATCTTATCTAGGCATTTTATTTAGTTTAGACAGGTGAACAGACGACCTCATAAAGGTACCAGGAAGGCCGGTTAGTCAGGAAATAATTGGGAGAGGCCTATGTTCAACAGTGGGCGTCCTGTGGCTGAAATGATGATGATGATGAAGACAATGAGAGCTTATTTTGTCGTCTAAAATCAATTTAAGTAACTCGGATTGTAAGATGATGATGATAATAGTATAAGGCTGGGTTGCACCATCTTACTTAACTTTACCTTAAAGGCCGGCAACGCACCTGTAACGCCCCTGGGTCTGCGGGTGTCTATGGGCGACGGTAATCACTTACCATCAGGTGATCCGTTTGCTCGTTTGCCTCCTATCACATAAAAAAAAAAAAACCGACAAACGTCAAAAATCTGTCAAAGTCCATACAAAAAGAACCGGTTATCGTTATAGTTACCGTTAAAGTTAGGTGGTGCAACTCAGCCTAAGAAAAGTCTAATCTTGAGTTGTAAAGAAAACCACCTAAATCCAAAACATTATTTTTTCCACGTCCAAATTAACATGCCCACCGAGAACAAAGTGTCAAAAAACGTTCCCGCTGATAATTCCCGGATATTCCCCGCTTTGTGCATACAAATTAGTTTTCCCGGGATATTTTAACGGATATCGGCCGGAACGTGATTTTAATTGGGCCAAATTCGCTTTTGATCGATATGCGGGATTCTAGAATCAAACGCTCGTTTGGTAATGTCGATTCGAATCGGCGATTATTTATACTTTGACGTATTTACGTATTAACAGCTTTACAGGGTGTCCCAGAATAGGTGAATCAAACTGATAGGGGAGGTAGCTCTACTAATGTCCTACTATCCCTAAAAAATAAAAAATAAAATTTGAATTCGGATTTTTTAAAAATAATAATATTTTTTTTTAGAAATCTAGTCTTTTTTTACCAAAGTTTGTTTACAAATAGACGAAGCGATCATGTACAATTAATATTAGTAAGAAAAAAGTACAAATAAACTCCAAACGCAGCAATTATAGCCAGATACTTAGGCAAAGCTGATTGATTTTCACTTTAAAAAAAATGTGTCCTTATTATGCGCTTTATTTATTTTTTAATATTTTTTAGGGATAGTACATTAGTAGAGCTACCTCCCCTAGCAGTTTGATTCACCCATTCTGGGACACCCTGAAGATCGTTTCATCCACGAAGACGCGCCCCACCAATTTTTGGTCGAGGGAAGCGCGGGGTGCGGGGAGTTTGATCCGAGCAATCCGAGCGTCATTATTGTAGTGTGCGTGTGTATGGATAATTTAGCGTGTACTAATAACACTCAAACATTAGCGGAAGAATGGTGGGGCGCGTCTTCGTGAATGAAACGATCTATAAGTACAGATATAACACATAACTGAAGCACTGGAACAGTATGGGTATTTTTACCGACTTCAAAAAAAGTAGGTTTTTTTGTAAATTTCTACCTCAGACCTCCGTCAAATAAGAACCCATTTCAAACATCAAAAACATAACTCAAAAAAACAAGTATCGCAGCTCAGTTATTCTACCGTAAAATGTTGTGAGACCCCTGTAATACCAAGTCGGTTAGTAATTATAGTCAGTCCCTTGGAATCGAACCTAGAACCTACACATCGAATGACGACCGTATGCAAACAATGCTTGCTTAAGTGAAGCAGCAAATCGAACGCACAGCGTTGAATAGAGCTCTGTGATTGGTTCGTGTGTTAGGTACCCTGTCCACGCGCACTGTGAGACCTCATAGTAATGTTTGTGAATACGGACGCGAGTATACTCTCTAACCACTGGAACACAGGTTTTTAAAAAAGTATTGTTAACCCCTTGTTGTAAGAATAATATGCTTGTATTACTAGTGGGTTTACCACGATAGTCTAGCAATCCTCTGATCTCGAGTCCAGTCCGACTCCTTCACCATTCGCTTCTTCGTCTTCGTTTCAGCCGAATGACCACTGCTGGACAAAGGCCTCCCCCAAGGATTTCCACAAAGACCGGTCCTGCGCCGCCCGCATCCAGGCACCTCCCGCGACCTTCACAATTTGCTGTGGTCGCTTAAATTATACAGGGTGGAAACGATAAGGGGCCGTCCATAAATTACGTCATCGATTTTTTCAGATTTTAGACCCCCCCCCCTTCCAATCACCCCACCGCCATTTCTCAATGTCCCCGACTTGAGGGTCTTCTGTCTCCCGACCGGCTATCTTCCTTGGCATCAAAGTTGGCAGGTACTCTTTTAGCCATCTTTGCCAGAAGCGCTGCGTTGTCCTCCAGTTTGCCTTCCCGATGAGGTAGCAGTTGAGTCCAATCGGAGAATCTCTTCGGGTCCGGAGTGACTTCTGGTGTTACCTTCAATGTGGCAACAACTTGAGAATTCTTCTCCTCTCCGGTGTATTCATCCTTCATCTCGAAGCGATCTTTCTTCAAAGTCTTCAACGCTGGATCTTTTTCCAACTTCCTCTTGATGAGACGCTGATGTGCCTGATGCCCTCTGCTGGTCTTCTTCAGGACACTGCGAGCCCGTTTGTCGGCGTCGTTGCATGGCCGACGTGGTTCCACTCCGATGTCCTCTTTCTCGAAGTGTTGGTGAACCAAGGCTTCCGTTCCATCTTCTACTAGTCTGCTGTGGTGCACTGACTTCACTGGATCACTTCCTCCAGTGTTGGATCCATGCAGGACCCATCCAAGGCTGGTCAAAGAGGCAACTGGTTCGGAGGCCTTCCCTTTGCGTAGTCTCCGTGTGACTATTAGCCCCCAATTGTCTTGCCCAATCAGAAGTCTAGGTACTTCTTTGTCGTAGACCAGCTTCTTCTTAATTTTCTTCAGGTGTTTCCAGTTTTGAAGCATTCCTTCTTCGACACCTTGCTTCGTCAGCTTCAAGTTGTCGATAGTTCTCGCTTCCATGTTGAATTTATTTCTACAATGGACCCCTTTGATCTTCATGTTGATCTTCTGGGAGTTGCTCTTCGCCATTCCGTTCCCCCCGACCATCTCGATGGTGATGGCTTCCGGCTTCCCTTGCGCCCCAATCTTCTTCGCCACTGATGAGTCCAGCAGCGTGACGGTGGACCCTTCGTCCAGGAGCGCGAGCACTTTTGCTGTCCCTTTGGGCCCGTAGAGGTTTACCGGTGTCATCTTCAAGTAGGCCCTTCCGCAGCTTGTGGTATGCACTGACGACACAACTTCTTCGACGTGCTTCTCTTGAGTCTTCGTTGCTGCGGACTTCTCCGAGTGAAGACTGATGTGATGCCACCTCGTGCACTTCTTGCACGGCTGTGCCCGGCATGTGTTTCTAGCATGCTTGAAGCGCAGGCATTTGAAGCACATTCTTGCCTTCTTCGCCATTTCCCATTTTTCGTCTACACTGGATTCCCTGTACCTCTTGCACTCGTACAGCCAGTGATCTTCTCGGCACTCTGGGCACTTCTTCGCGTCAGTCTTCGGTTCTTCACGGCGTCCTTCTGTTTGTTGGACATGGTGAACCGGCCTCTTGAACATATTTCTCTTCTGGTCCCAGGACACTTCCGGGGGAGCGTAATCACTGTTAATGTCTGCTTCAACTTCCATGAAGTCATACATGAGTTCGAGCGCTGGTTTTCCCTCTGCCCGGCGCTCGCGTTGGTACATCAGCCACCGAGATTTCATGGTCGGCGGCATCTTCTCAATAAGACACTCCACGGCCCCTGGTGCACACAAATATTCCATTTTGCCGAGTGCCCTGATGGTGGCCACGGCATTGCGGACTCGGCTGGCAAACATGCAGATCTCCCCTGATGACTCGTTGACCCTTGGCAGCCTTTCCATCTTCTTTAACTCCGCCAGGGCTATGGCTCCAGGTCTGCCGAACCGGACCTCCAGGCTCTTCATCAGCTCTTCCGGATCCTCGGCGGTGAACAGGAGGCTCTTGACTGCCTCCCTCGCGTGCCCCTGGAGACACCTTCGTAGTCGCGCCAAATTTTGTGCCGGCGTGAAGGAGCGCGCGGTGTCTTCATATGACCTTCTGAACGCGAGCCATTCTTCACATGCGCCATTGAAACTTGGGAGGTCGACCAGTTGTCTCGTGAGGCCACCCTCTGCCCTCTGTGACAGCTTGGTGATGGCCATGGCTAACTCTTGAATGTCTGTTCTCCCTTCCGTAGGTAGCGGCTGTGGCGGCGGCGGCGGCAACACTTGCGGCGGCGGTGGCGGCGGCAGCGGTAGAACTTGTGGCGGCGGCGGCAGCGGCGCGGCGGGCGGCGGCGGCGGTATCGGTTGTAGTTCCGGCGGGACCCTCTCGGCGATGGTGTTCGAGTGGTCCAACCAATTTTCGACCTGCATTTGCCTGTACTGCACTTCTTCTGGATCCTCTTCCATGTCGGAATCCAATTGGGCCAACTCCAATTCCGCTTTGGCAACTTCCAGTTCCTGGCGGGCCACTCTTAATTTGGCCTCTATTTCTGCCCTTCTTCTTGACGAGCGGACGGAGCGCGTGTCCTGATTCACTCGTGACAGTCGCGGCGTTTGTTCATGCACTTGCGGCGTGGGTGGCGCGTACTGTCCTTCAACAGTCGGCACGGTGGTCACCGTAGTCGCGGGAGTCGCGGCGGCGGCAGAGGCGGCGGCAACATTGGCCGCGGTGGGCGTGGAGGCGGCTGCGGCGGCGGCGGCGGCAGCGGCGGCGGCGGCACGTCTCTTCTCTGCTTCCGCGATACGGGCCCTTAGTGCTTCGTGTGGCTTCGTGACGTCGGCGGTTATCTCCTCTGTGTAGGAGCGCGGTGCTGGTTCCCCTCTTCCCAAATGCACGCCGGGCTCTCCCATAACCCGGGTGCTAACAGCCGGCGCGGCGTGGTCCCTGGCGATGCGCGGTGAGGACGCGCCCCCGGCGGGATACGGGGTCAGCGTTGATGAAGTATCCGTGGTTTCCGTCGGAGTACTTCCTCCATGAACCGGCGGCGACGTAATTCTCCCTGCGGCGGCGGCGCTAGCCGCGGCGGCGGCACCTCGTAGCTTCTCCGACCTGGTGACAGGCATCTTCGCTATTCCCGTAATCCGGCTACTCGAAGGACCAGGAAAATGTGGTGATCCGGCTCGAAGGACCAGGAAAATGTGGTGGACTGCAGTGGACTGTATGCGTTTGTGTGTGTTCGAGAGCGCTGACCGGACGATGATGACTGCCGTTGAGAGCTTGCCCTTACTATGTCAGGCGTAGTAGGTGCTACTTGCAGGAATAAAACCACTATTTCACTTGCTGAGACTTCTCGCGTTTATTATTCGCTTCCTTTTCTCAGTTCTTGCTTCTTCAGATCACTTGTTGCTTGGAGCACTTGTTCTCTGAACTGAACAAAACAATACATGCCAGCTGGAGCGGTTCATTCCGTATTTATGGGGAGCGGCTATCTCCGTCCCGCTTTCACACGCTATTGCTATCCCTGTCTTCGGGAAATCCACAGATTTTGCTAATTTTCTCCAACTGGCAGGTAGTTTTACAATGGTTTCTTATTTTCTACAGATGCGTAATTAAATTATCTACATTATACAAAAAGTTTCTTCACAAAATTCCCAAAATTGGCGAAGTTATTGACAAAAAACCTAAAACGGCTCTCTTTACGGTATTGCCTCGCGCAACGGACCATCCGTGCAAGACAAGGACAAAACATATTGCTATCTCACGTTCTAGAATGTTCGAAGCGAGAGGTCCGATATTTCCGTCTCGTTTCTTCTCTATTTTTTCCTGAACATTCTAGATTTTCCAGAAAAGTGTGAAAGAGAAGCTATTTTGTGGAAGTGAGAGATCAGACAATGCAAGAAAGAGGCCTACCGAGTGAGTAAGCGAGAGAGCCTGATGGTTTTCGCTACGGTATTGCCTTTTTGGCGAAAATTTCATGTTCATTTTCTTAACTACGAAACAGACTAATTACTTAATTTGCATTATTTGACATGATGTTGCTAACATTAATTCTGACTATTCTTGACGTCGCTAACAAAACTGGTTACTGATCCTGAAAGTGCTTCACGAGCTCTTTCAAACGGTACCAATAATAGGTTACAGAATAATTTGGAACTATCCGAAAATTCAATGTTTCCAGCTTCCATACTTCCATACTACTATTTTATTAGACAAACAGACAGACGTTTTCAGACAGTTGGACACCCAATAAATATTCTCGTTAGCCAATTACACACCGAAGTCAGAGGCGACACGTGAACTGATTGATTGATTCTGCATCCATCAGACCCTGACCTTCCCTGCCTCTTGACACCCCAAAAAATTAGGCCAAAACCGGGTGTAATCAAATGGAGTCAGAGCTCAACTTACACTGGTTCTATTGTCCAGTTTATCGTGACCTTCCTTTCCCCTTGTAACGAGAACTTTTGAGGGTTAATTAGGGAAGGATTTGGAGGCTGGAGAGGTCAGGAAGGTGGGCGTCTTGATGAAGTACATGGGATCCCCAATCAGTGTTTAATTGTGGCAAATTGTCACGTTTAATGACACGTGGATTGTCGGTCGTTAGGATTAAGGACTTTTTCTTGTTAAGGCACTAAAAGTAAAGATTCAGACTTTTTGACTTATACATAACTAGCTTTCTGCCCGCGGCGTCGCCCGCGTGGAATTTTATTCACAGAAAAACTTTATCGCGCGCGTCCCTGTTTAAAAAACCGGGATAAAAACTATCCTATATTGTATATTGTAAATTACAATCTATACTAATATTATAAATGCGAAAGTAACTCTGTCTGTCGTCTGTCTCCTTTTCACGCCTAAACCACTAATAAAACCGATTTTATTTGTAATCATTTTCAGCCTTCAGTAGTCTACTGCTAGATGTAAGCCTCACCACAAAATGCAATCTCCTACTTTTTCATCCAGTTTTCTTTTTAAGGGCGTCAGTCCATTGAGCAGGGAGGCATTCTACACTACGTTGGCCGATATGTAGTCTCCATTCTTGAACTACGCTTTTAATCCACCTTTTCATGCGACAGATTCTTCTGCATCTATGACTTGCCTTTGACCATATAATATGACCATTTCTTAGCACGAATGATATACAGCATACTAACGCCCGTATTCACAAACGATGCTTGCTTAAGTGAAGCAGCAAATCGAACGCACAACGTTGAATAGAGCTCTGTGATTGATTCGTGTGTGACCACGTCCACGAGCACTGTGAGACCTCATATTAATGTTTGTGTATACGGGCGTTATTTCCGTATTTTATCCTACTTCCTACTAATCCTACTTAATATTATAAATGCTAAAGTTTGTATGTTTGGATGTTTGTTACTCTTTCACGCAAAAACTACTGAACGGATTTTGATAAAACTTTACAGTATTATTGTTTATTAATGTTTATAACCCAGAATAACATATAGGCTATAATTTATGACGATTTGTGACAAACTAAATTTCACGTGGGTAAAGCCGCGGGTAAAAGCTAGTCCCAAATATGCCATACCAAGTATCAACCAATACCTATTTAATCCCCGTACATTTCATGCCATGAGCTTTCATTATAATCTCTATAACCCTCACTGTTCTATGGGGTCCCTTAGACCCATTTAAAATTAATTTTCTAATACAAATTACCATTCGGTTTTATTGCCACGCGTTCTTAATGACATGGCACGATGATTATCAATATTAATTACATTAACACCCTAAAATCGAATCCCATTATGTTTTAGCCCGGTATTAATATTAAATTCTTAATTATCATAATAATGCTATACTGTTCTTCTGGACTAGTTATTACTGTAATGCATTTGTAACCCTTAGGGTAATATAAAATAAGGATACAAAATAGTTGAAGGATGACATACATTATGGCTGAGTTGCACCACCTAACTTTGACCGTAACTATGACGATAACCGGTGTATTTTGTATGGAGTTTGACAGACTTTTGGCGTTTGTCAAAGTTAAAGTAAGATGGTGCAAGCCAGCCTAGAACATCAAAATCAAAATATTACTCTATAGTCATACTAGTTGCAGCGCTTAACTTTGTCAGGGCCTGAGGAATGGGAGGGGTAAAATTGTGTTTGTGCAAATCAAAGCCATCTATACGAGCCCTCTGGAACTAACATCAGTCACATCACCGACGCCATCTACACGGGCTCTCGAACTACCGCAACACCTTGTCACATCGATCAACATTGATTAACGCACAATGGATGTGTGTTTCAACTATCTAAGCCGAGATGGCGCTGAGGTGCAGCTGAAAGCCGGAGCTGGGAGCGCAGTCAACGCCCGAGCATCATTCGGCAACTCCATCGATTCACGATCAGACGCGAACCACTTATAATTTGTATTTATTGTATATTCAAAGCACTGTAAAGTAATTAAAGTCTATAGTATATTTTAATAAATCTACATCATTGAAGATTCCCGTATACTTACACTACCCTGGAGAGGACACAAGTCAGGAGACAGAAACCAAAATCAGTCAGGCCACACACACATACACCAACAAATTGACCTTATGACGTGGCAGAGCATACAAATCTGAAGCACATTTGAGGTCCCGCTGACGATTGACGTCCCAAAAACACCCTTCCTGGCTGAGTTTCGCGTTAGACTTATAATAGACAGTTTGACACCATACCCTCATTTTCACATAACATAATTTTGACATAATTCGAAACCACAACTGTTTTAAAAAGACTCTTCATTCTGGTCTTAAAAACTTAATTTATTTTAAATTACCTGTAAATTTCGATTTTTGTTCGAATTGTAATTGAAAAAAGTAGTTTAATTGGGTTTACAAAATAGTGACGTCATTTGCTTGTAGTGCCATACAAAATCTATGGGAGAGTTTCGTTTTGACAGTTTTAAAAAGTACGTCAATTGACTGTGGTGTCAACATGTCTATTAACTACTTCCTGACGAAATAGAGCTTGCTCTTGGCAGAGTTTGCAGACAATCTTCATTCTCCCCATGGATGAAGTAAGAGATGTATGCCATATTCTCCGTGCACTTGCGCATTTGCCTCTTCCGTGCTCCTACAGTGACGATTAAATATCCTGAGATGATGAAATTTACGAGTAGGTTCGTTCGTTCGTTCGTTTCAGCCAAATGACGTCTACTGCTGGACAAAGGCCTCCTCTAAGGTTTTCCACAATGCACGGTCCTGCGCTGCCCGCATCCAGGCTCTTCCCGCGACCTTTACCAGATCGTCGGTCCATCTAGTAGGAGGCCTGCCCACGCTACGTCTTCCAGCCCGTGGTCGCCACTCGAGAACTTTTCTGCCCCAACGGCCATCGTTTCTACGAGTAGGTAGGATTTTAAATATAGACTTAAGAATAGAGGTAAGTACTACAAATGGGTTCCAAGCTAATAATTTCTAATCACCCCCGTTGCAGTTGTTTTAAATACAAATTGTGATCCCCAAATGCCACTGTTGGGGTGAAAGACTCACTTCACCCTTATCGCCACAATCATCGCGTTTCCGATGGGGTGATTCCCAACTGTGCATGTTTTAGTTGAGAAATAAAGGAATTAAGACTGTATGTATACGATTTATTCTTGTTTCCATTGTATTCAACAATGTATTATGACTTACTTACGACTCTATGACATACAATCGTGTGTATAATTTCTTTAATCTATCTATATAAATAAAAATGAATTGCTGTTCGTTAGTCTGATTAAAACTCGAGAACGGCTGGGCCGCTAGAGCTGATTTTGGTTTTAAAATGTTTGTCGTAGTCCAGGGTAGGTAGGTGAGCAAATAAGGAAAAATTGCGATGGCTTATTTATTGCCTTTAAGGCGGAACAGAGTTAGCCGGGTCAGCTAGTTTTTAATAAATTTGGCTATAAAGAACAAACGAATGATACAGAAGTGATCTCTATTTTCAACTACTTATGAATTTTCTGTTGAAAAATACTTGAACTAAATGAAAATAAATGTTTTCCATTCCTTTTATTTATTGGATGTCAAAAAATAAATCCTAAGTAACACCAACGAAAGAGTGACTTGCTTAGTTTTTTGTGGAAGTAAATAATCGTACTGTACTTACTTACTTGTAGTTGGTTAAAAAGACAGACTCCTAAACTCTTTATAACCGACTTCAACAAAAAGAGGATATTTCTTTTAACTTTATAAATTTTGTCTTACATTTAATTATATTTCTTTTAAACCTAGTGCAAGCCCAACCAAGCATACAGTTAAATGACTCAAACGGAAAATGACATAGCTGTAAGTGCCCTCAGATCCCCACCACTGATACGTTGTTATTTTCTATTAATGATTTATCCCCTTGCTCATTTCACCCCGTCTTATCGCGTTGATGCCATCGCATTCGCCCCAAAAGAAATCATTTGACGTATCCGACTATTGTTAGTTTAAGATCGGGAAGATAAGCAATAGAATGTAATTAAATACATTTTGTGGGGCTATTGATTGATGGATTGATGTAGTCTCTATTGTTGTGGATTATGTTGTAATTTGATTTTATTGCAATTTTATGGCTGTAGTGGCAGTTATGTTTATTAGTTTTATTGCACTGTTAACTGTTACTGTGACAATAAATTGTTTGTACAGTAAAATAGGTGTTATAAATATTATGATCGTTTTACAAAATACCAATAGAAATTATCGTTGTAAACAACATTGTTAATGGAACGTCCACCCAAAAGGTAGACCGACGACCGCATAACGAAAGCTGGGGAAGGCACTGGATGAAGGCCGTTCCCAACCAGGCGATGTGAAAGTCATTGGGGGAGGCCTATGTTCAGCAGTGGACGTACTGTGGCTGAAATGATGATGAAACAACATTGTTCAGTAAAATACTCTATAAGACATGTTGCTAGAAAAATCAGTTGGCATTTTTATAAAAAGGACTTCTTAATTAATTCCTTCAATTGGCTTTTTAACAAAAAAAATCCTCTAATATCTTTCCATTTTCCCCCTCGTTAGCATCAAATACGGCGTCCTTAACGGGA